CCGAACACTCCACTACTAAACAATCTGTGGCAAGATAGTAGCGTACTGTATATTTGACCCAGACTTGACAAGCGTGGTACAGTTTTTTGCGCGTGTCCGTAATACCGCGCACAAAGAATTGTGGGACAGAGTCCTTTATTTGCTGGCATTCTTGATTTTTGACTGCAGTTCTTTTTTATATTTTAGAGTAAATGCTTCTGATATGCTCTTAGGTTGCTTAATATCCGTCTGAAATTCTGGACTGTGGTCATATTTTCCGATTATGAGTCGTATGTTTAAATAACTCACCGTGACTAGTGTTTTGCATTATGAAGTATATTATTATGAAGGTCTACACACTGTACTTTGGGTAAATATTTACCATTTCGTTATTTCGCTTTCCAGCATTTACAGGAAACGCTTCATTCTAGAAATTCCTATCGCAAAACAGTTGGAAATAATAAATGTAACAGCAGAATACGTCCTAGCACAGTCACTCTACTAGAATGGTGTTTGCGAACTTCGTATTAATTATAAACCGACATTAGCTTCACGTTTATGTCACCATGGAAACAGTCAAATACGTATTGCTTGTTTTTGAGCGGAGCGGATCGCCAACCAGCCTACCGGCTTGTATCAGTATGTCCCTGCTTGAGAGGAACAGTAGGAGGCTGCTAGTCTCCATCTGTCTTTACTTCTAAAACTACAAAAAAAGGGATTTAATAATACTCTGGATATGTCTTTAAGGATGTACAATGTATATACAACATCTGCTCATATGTTCACACATATGTTTACATTTGTATAATAGTAACAATGTTTAATTTCTAAATTTTGGTAATGGTAAATACTTTTTTAGAAAAACATTTATAAGTAAAATACAAAACTACATGTATTTGGGTGTAGTTTTCACAAATTAAAACATTTTTAATATGTAATCAGATAGTTGGAATTTAGGACCTTGTAATAAATGATTCTTCTTTGATATGCTCTTGTTGAATCCGTCTGTTAAGATGTGCTGTCTTGGAAAAAGGTATGTACATGTAATAGTGCACAAACTGTGATAGTGGATTCATTAATTTGAGTGCATATCAGAGTTCTGCTATGTATTGTTGAAGCTGACTTGCAGGCAGTTGAATTGAAATCAGTGCAAAACTACTGTTTTGCACACAGCATCTATATTCCCGGCATGTACCTGTCTGTGTTTTACAAAGCCATTAGACAAGATCAAAATGAAACTACTGTGAACTGTGGATTGCATCATAAAATATTATATAGAGATGTATTGAATGCTTTCATATAGGTGAATTGTCAATTATGTGTTGTCTCTTCCTGTCTCTTCCCAGGCTGCTGATTAGGGTAATTGAAACCTATCCATCCCATGTAACAGCCAAACTAACCTTTGACCTTCTAATTATGCAAACTGAGTAGAAATGTCCACACCTTATACTACTGAGTTATTATTTGAGAGGTAGTCATATAATGTAGGGAGTTTCATGGAAGTGTGAATCTTCATACAAAAAGTCTGAGATTTATTGAGTCAAATAATGTCATTGTTATTGACTCCCGTGTGCGAAGCACAATGGGAGTCTTTGCAGTTAGTTTGTCTGTCTATATTTGTGTCTGTGTGTATGTGTGTCCATCTGTTCCACTGAAATCTCATGAACTATACATTGTTTTTTGATGAAACTTTGTGCATAGATGCTCTGGGTCAATGCGCAGATTTGATTAGGTTTTGGTAAAAATTCATGCACAATACTTACCTAATTTGCATAATGATAATTAGCCAATTTTTTGGTGTTCCAAGACTGTTCCACTGATATCTAAAGAACCACTCATTGGATTTCAATGAAACTTGATACATACATGTATATGCTCTGAACTGATGTGCAGAATTGATTAGTTTTGGGTAAAAATCTGTGCATATTAATGATCTAATTTGCATAATGATAAGTCAAAACTTTTTAGCTCCGCTGTTGACTTTCTTGAGCGGAACTTATCATATGAGTGATTGTTCGTCGGCGTCCGTCTTCCGTCATCGTCCGTCGTTGTCATCCGTCGGTGTCCGTCGTCGTCATCCATGTCAATGTTTTACTTTTTCGACTTCTTCTTGATAACTACAAGCCTGAATGCTTTGATACTTGGTGTATATGTACCTTGGGTAGACCTCTCTTAGATTTGTTCATTTCATGATGATATCTTGAATTCTCTGATTTTTAGTCCCCGTTCGGACGCAGTCGAAAACGAGGACTTATGTTTTAACCTCCGTGCGTGCGTCTGTGCGTGCGTCCGGACCTGTATCTTCATAATGCCTGGACTAATCACAATCAAACTTCACACATACATCATACATGATATTATACATATGCACGTCAATTTGTTTCACGATCTGATTCAAGATGGCCGAATGGCGGCCATTTTTGTGCTAAAAATGATCAACATTAAGCATTTCTCGGCTGTTTACAGATGGATTTTGTTCAAACTTGGTATACTGTAAAGGGGGTAATTATTCACTGGGTTTTAATTTAGCTTATTTCGCTGACTGGAAAAATGCGCTAAATTAAAACACAGTGAATATGTCAAATTTAGCACAGAACACATTATCTAAATGACGAAACCGTGAATTTAAAACCCACTGAATATGCCTGAAATGGTGAATCAGTGAAATTTAAACCCAGTGAAAATTAGTCATTTTACAGTATACGTTAGACATTATAGGACCTTGATGCACATCATTTTGTTTTACGATCTGATTCAAGGTGGCCGAATGGTGGCCATTTTTGTGCTAAAAAATCCTAAAAATCAACCATTTCTCAGCTGTTTAAAGATGGATTTTGTTCAAACTTGGTATATACATTAGACATTATGGGACCTTGATGCAAATAATAGTGTTTTTCAGATAAGATTCAAAATGGCCGACTGGCGGCCATTTTGTATTAATGAATATGGTTCTTGTGCCATACCTCTGACTTGCTTTCACTGATTATGTTCAAATTTTAAATATTCATTATACATCATGTCATAGATAAACAGATATACTGGTTTGACGATCTTATTCAAAATGGCCAAATGGTGGCCTTTTTTGTGTTAAACAATCATCAAATATCAAGAATTTCTGGCATTTATGGATGGATTTCGTTCAAACTTGGTACATATATTAGACATTACAGGTTCCAGATGCACATCATTTATTTTTCAGATCGGATTCAAAATGGCTGTCTGGCGGCCATTTTGTTTTAATGAATGGGCTTCTAGAGCCATATCTCTTAAATGCTTTGACTTATTATATTTAAATTTTATATATTCATTATACATCATGTTATATATATACATGTATTCAAAATGGCTGATTTTGAATGCTGTTCCAGAGCAATATCTCTCAATATGGACATGTACTTGTTTGACGATCAGATACAACTGTCAATCATTTTAATGTTAAAAAATCATATTCCTGTCATGGTTATATTCCCCAGCCATATTACTATAAACAAAACTATATATCTTAAATGTGATAACTAACAGGGACTGTGCCATGCATGGCTTGTGGTGAATATTTTTGTAATTTTTCGTAAAAAGTGATATTTTCGACTTCTTGTTAATAAACCGCAAGTCCAATTGCTTTGATATTACATGTATAGGTACTACATGTGGACCTTTCTCAGATTTGTTCATTTTGTGCTGATATTCTCAATTCTCTAATTTTGGTAAATATTTTTGTCATTTTTGGTAAAAAGTGATATTTTTGACTTCTTGTTAAAAACCGCAAGTCCAATTGCTTTGATTTCATATATATAGATGCTACATGTGGACCTTTCTGAGATTTGTTCATTTCGTGATGATATCTTAAATTCCCTAATTTTGGTGAAAATTTATGTAACTTTTGGTAAAAAGTGATATTTTTGAATGAAAACACTCAAGACAAAACAAACGTCAGAGTTGCATCTCTATTACTATTAAATATAATTGTGGAAGATCCCAGCATTTATCTTGCGTAAATCAAAATAGTACTCTCAAAAATTTCATGTATACACTGGTGACTTATGGTTACTTGAAATCAGACACGCGCACTTCTCATTCCTAGACACGTCCATCTTACAAGGTCATAGAGTTGAAACTGTGTGATAATTTAATTAAATATGTTTGCGTCATTTTTAACAAACGTCCTGCTCATGTGAATCCAGATTGGATTCTTAAGACCTCTGAAACGAACTTGTATCAACTTCATGTTAAACTGAGCGTAGCTTTTATTACATTACCAGCATTCCATGGTCTGTCCCCACGCTTACCTTTAAAAGTGAGTGTTCTCAAGCTTTCCATTGTTTGGCTCCATGCTTACTTTTGAAAGTGAGCATACGTTCAATTCGTATCTTCATGAAAACAGAGACGCTCAGTTACCGCGCTTAACTACCACATACATGTAGAGACCTATTTACATACATGAGCTTTTATTAATTAATTTGAATTAATTTTTAATATGTTTCCAATATTCTCAGCACACGGGAGTTCTTCCTAAGCTTTCTTTGATCAATTTTAATTGTTATTGAAATTGCAAACTGTGTATACATAGTGCATTTCACAATCTGTGCTCAGAGTAAGCAGGAAAATTTGCTTTCTTTGGGCTTATCGAACTGAAGGTGTCTCACAACCCCCACAAGGTACATTTATATGGGTTATTTGTTTTCCGTGTTCAACCCCCAGTAAGATTTGAACTAAAAATACATTTTGCAGGTGAAACTGACAATACAATGGCTATGTGGCTGACCTTTAAAATTAATCATATACATGTACTGGCTGAAATTACTTTAGCTAGTTTTTCTTGGTCTATTTAAACAAATTATAATATTCAGTATCAGAACAGTGCACTAAGTTATTTATCCTTACTAATCTTGATATTGAACCCCTGTAATTAAAATAGTTAGTTGTTTTATATATATATATATATATATATATATATATACGCACACACACATGCCAATAATGATTGAGGATTATAATAGATAGTTGTATTTAATTTTTTCTAGATGTAAACTCAACTACTATGGATGACCCCAGAGAGGATTCCCAGTTTGAAGATGCTGAGAGTGATTTTAATAGTCCTGTGCACTCCGCTACTAAGAGCCCTATGCACAGTCTACGTGATGAAGACAGCAGAGATAGTGGAATTAATCATAGTGAATCAGGAAGTGATCGTCCAGAAAAACAGGATTTACCAGAGTCACAGTATGAGGATGCAGATATAGACAGTAATGCTGATCTAGAAGAGGACAATGAACCTCTGGATTGTAGAAATGGGCAATCTGTGACTGAATATAATGAGAATATGCATGATAACGATGACTATCCTGATGGAGATGCTGCTGAAGGATACATGGAGAATGATTCTCCTGAAGAAAACTATGTGCAAGAACAAAAATTTGTAGAGGACAAGGACAATATGCAAATTGATTCAAACTTTATAGAAGAGGTAGATCTCGATGGGATTGATGATGTCCCTGAATCACAACCTGAGGATGAGATCAATATGCAAGAGATTCCAGTGGAGGGTGAGGGTGAGGAAGTCAGAAGTAAATCAGAAGAAGATGTTGTAGAGAAATATGAAGAGGAGGAAGTACAGGAAAGGTTTAAGGATGATGATTACCAGGAAGAGAATGAGCAGTTCAGAGAAGAGTTTGAGTATTATGTGACCAAGGAATTCAATGGAGAATATGACCAATATAACAAACCAGAAGAGAATTACAGTGAGGCAGTTGTGGACCAATCAGAAGAGGTAGAAAATGTTATTGTACCAGAAGAGGATAATTTGGAAGATGTTCCATATGAGTTGCCTGAATCACAGTTGAATGATGGTTCAGGGCAACCTGAAGAAACTGAAGCAGTTTTGCCAGTTGTTGTAGATGTTGTAGATGAGGATTACATTTCCAAGAATGACTTTATTAAAACTGTGATGCCTGAAACTGGTGAATTCACAAATGAAATCCTGAAGCAGGCAAATAATATATATTCTCAGCAGCAAACAGAACTATGTCCAGATAAACAGATTTCAGAACATGGAAGTATTTTGATTGACGAAGATTCTATTAATGCTTCTGAGCCGAACCCTGTTCCTGAAGAATCTGGTAAATATGAAGGAGCTGAGAGTGATGTCGGAGGTCATTATGATATTCCTGTTAATGATATGTATGATGAACAGGAAGGTGTTCACCAGCATCATTACAATTTCCATGTTCCTTGCCATCCAGTCGCATTAGAGCAAGAAAACGAATCTAGTTTACAGCAGGATCTCCCCAAAACAGAGTATACAAACCTTTCCAAAGTCAGTGATATGCCAGTATCAATGAATACACATGGTGCTATTTCTTCTGTGGAAATTGAACAGTTTGTGGATAATGTGGGAGCTGATATGAATGCTACAGAAAAAGTTGCTGATATACCAGAACAGAATGCTCAAAAGCATTCTCCTATCAAGGCAAATGTCAGACAAACTCCTAAAAAAGTCTACACAAATTTCGATGATATTCCAGTTGGTATGGCTTCCAGTTATATATATCAACCTCCAAAGCAAAGCAAATCTGCTGAAGAGAATCAGGATAGTGGAAAATTTGAAAGGGCACAAAGCAAGAGGAAGCCACAGGAAGATGCTGTTATGAAAAAGGGATGTGGTCGAGGTATTGGTAAACAATCTTCCCAGGTAGCTGTGAAAGGCAATGTGCAAGCAAAAACTAATATTTCTAGAAACACTGCTCAAAGGTCTATTTCAGTTGATAAAAGGACTATGAAACCAGCATCAAATGTAGAAGAATCACAGAGCAGGAGGCAACTCTCAGCAAGATCATCTGAATTACGACAATTAAATCCAACTAGAAAAATATGCCATGCAGATAGTAGGGAGACTAAGTTCTTTGTACCACTTGATGTTGATGAGAACACATCTTCCCTTCAAGAACCCAAGAAGAAGCAAGACACACCAGGAACTGCAGTTCGTGTGATCAAACAATCTGGATCAACTAGAGCCACATCCAAAACTTCCCCTGTAAATAATTCAAATTCAAAGAGTCCTGTATCTTCAATGACAAGGGGACCTGTCAGAAAAGATGAGAAGGGAAGCCTAAATAAAGGAATAGATCCTGTTTCAAAAAGTATATCTAACACACCTGAAAAACGGTATGTAAACGCAGGTGAAGATGAATGGAAAGATCATTCAGCTGAACGCCTTGCTTACCATGGCAGACATGCAATTGGTAAAGAGGTTAGACCAGTGAAGAATCATAGAGTTCAAGACCAAAGACCTACTAGTGATAAATACATGGAAATAAATCAACAACATTTAGATCCACGAATCAATCAACACTATATCTCTGGAAAGGATCCATATGGCAGCTCATACAGTGTAGGTGAAATTAAGAAAAAAAATGAAGAAATATTAAAACTGTCTCCTGGAATTGCTCGACGACAAGTACCCCACGACTCTATGAACCAAGCTCCAAGGCATGCACTACCAGACAATATAAGCCAAGCACAAAGTAGAAGATATGCAGAATACGGGATGACTAACTATTCCCAGCCTCATTCTAAGGATTACGAGTATCCAGAAAGTCTGGACATTGAAGCAGAATCACGACATTCTAGTACCACTGCTTCACCGTATCACCAAGCACACACTCAGCTGTGGCAGCAGAATGAAAAAAATGATCATCACAGTATCGGTGGCACTCCAAACAATGTCACACCTACTCATCATTCTGTGCACCACAGTCGTGATTCGGAGGAGCCTGAGTCAGAACATCAACCTAAGTGTACCTGTGGTCAAGTAGTCTATGATGACATAGCTGAAAGTCAGGCATACCTGATTGAGAGAAATAAAAGAAAAGTTGCTGAACGAGCAGCTGAGATACAAGCTAAAAAAGATGAAGTGAGGTTGGAGGGAGATAGCCTTCATTCCAAAGAGCAAGAAGATGGAGATATATTTTTACGGCCCACTAACCGTAGACGTAATAGCTACGAGCTGGCAAATAGGGATCATTCACCAACTCCTGATCATGAGGGCAACAGAGATATTGACAGGTATGGGACACATCCTGGAAGGCAGGTGAAAAGTAAAAAAGATTTGGAAGAACCAGCATCATTAAGGCGATATAAGGTATTTGATGTTGATGATGCAAGAACAGAAAGCAGAGGACTCTCTGCTGTTGATCATGCCACACTTGCGAAGCTAGCACAGCGTGAGCTTGCTGATATGGAGCGTTCACGTGCAGTCAGAGATTATGGTCAACCCACAGTGATGTCATCACCTCAAGAGCAAACCATTTCCCCAGCCAGGTCATCCCAAGCATCACCTAGGTCACAGTCTCCAAAAAAGCTGTCATCAAAAACAACCTCACCTGCTAAATCCTCATCAGAAACAAGCCCAACAAAAACTCTGCCAACTCCGTTGAAAACCACTCCTCCTAGCAAATCTAATGAGAGTGCCAGAAGTTCTGAACACATTGAAGGCACATATGACAAAAAAGAACTGCAACTTTCTGGCTTACATGCCCTGGAGCTGAGTAAGGACTTTGGGTATAGCCGTCCTGAGGACGACCAATTCATGGATGCTGATGAGGGGAGCGATGAAGATGGTGGGACTCAGCATTTACAAGGAAGTGAAGTAATGACTCGGTGGTACAGTGATGTGGATAAACCATCCTTTTATAGTGATGATGGTGTTCCAGTCAGCAGCCTGAATGAGATCCAGGCAGCAATCAGTGAGAGCAAAACCAAACTATTGAAATCTCCAACGTTCTATGTGGAGCAGGAACCAGAGGAGCCAGTCTGGATACTGAGACCATTCTATGCTAAAAAGCAAATCCAAGATGAGGAGAGGAAAAAGCAAGAAATCGAAAAGTAAGTTTATTACTATAATATAGGCTTCTGATCATCTTGTTTTCAGCTATCCACTTTAGATTATTATGGAAATTAAATAGTAGGTGTAAGTAACAGTCAGCTGGTGCACAAGTGCAATATTTACTATATTGGGGCCACCATCTTAAATACGGCATGAAACTAAAGAAATAGACAAGTTGTGTAACATGTTTTTCAGATTCCTGCAAACAGGAAAAAAATTCCAGTCTTTCACAGTCAAACGATATTTTGGGGTAATATTTGGTCGAATTCGTATTTTTTGTAGGAAAAATGCCTTGCATGTAAACACTATATTACACAAAGAACATAGAACACTTTCCTGGGTTATTTGAAACAGAAATTGTCATCTTAACTGTAAGGCCGTCGCTGATTGGCTGCTGAGTTGGAATGACAATTTTGGTTTCAACTACCCAAGGAAATGAAATCTGCTAAATTTATTTAAAATCTATGTCAAGTGGTAAAATTACGATAGAACATTGTTTCAATCAAAAATTTAGAGAATATGTTCAAATATCAAAATAATTAAATGATAAGAAAAATTATGCAGCAATATGCCATGTAGTAACTGGAATAGACCCCCCCCCTCCATTAATCACGCAAACGCAAAATCAATTTACTACCTGTTGATGTCAGCATTGTGGGTTATAAAGACTTAAAAAACATCATTTCCTTTTATTCATTTATTTTTAGAAGTCCCATTGTCTCCCCTTGGTATAATATTAAATATTGTTCAACTTTTTTTTTATCTAGTTAATAATAAGTAAATGTATAGTGCCCTCATGTGGCAGACTTGATTTTTTGTTGTTGTTGAGAAGAAATATGAGGGAGCTGTTACACATTTTTATAAACTCCACTTATCAATTGTTTTCAGGGAGAAAGAAAGACGGAGATCAACAGCACAGCATCAACAACAACGTCATTCTGTGAGTCCAGGATCATTAGGAAGCAGTGATGAAGATATTCAGAACCGAAATCCACAGGGGTATTTGCGTAAACAGGAGAGTGATGATGAAGATGATGATGTAGAACAGAAGCCTTTGATATCATCCAATGACTATGACCATGGTATACCACCTGACCATGTACATTCAGAAGAGTGCTATTTGAGAAACCCAAGACCAAGGCAAGCAACTGAGGTATACATTGAACATTGTTAAAACATTTGACTGTCATGAAGTTTTTACTTCAAAATAATGCATTTCAAGTTTACTGACAAGACTATAGTGTACCGATATATGTCTAACATATTGATATTATGGCCTGTGTGAAAAAGAGCTTTTATTACACAAAGGTATTGTTAATAAATAAATGAAATAATCAAAATTACAGCTAATACTTGATATGCAGTTCTCTGTTTGAATCAGATATTCAGAGAGAACAAACATTTAGGATTTCCTCGCCGACCAAACACACTTAATACGCATGAACTCAAAATGAACTAAAATGTGTAAAATTATTTCCGGTTTTGACAAATACCAGATCAACAGTAATACACGTACAATAATAATTTACAAATTTACACAATCCACGGATTTCGTTGTTGTTGCACTTTTAATTTATGTCTTATAACAATAAAAAACAAGAAAAATGGGCTCGCGGCAAAAGACTCTGCTGCAATGACACACAATGCTTTTGTTTACAGTCTGTCAATCTTTGATCTTTAAGGATCTGCTTCTGATTGGCTAAGAATGACATCACTATATAGTGTTTCATCTTAGAGGTCAAGTCAACATTCCTTTCTTATCAGACTGTACACTCATTAATCGTGGTAAAAGTTATCATTCAGCAAAGTTTGGCTATTGGAATGTCTATATGGATATTGCAATGGGCTTGGAATAGGGAAAAAAAATTATCCAACGACAGAAGAATAATTTTCATGAGAGAAATAGCTATGATGAAAGATGGTAAAAAAATTGGAAGTCTTCGGCGTGACATTGCAAAATTGCTGTCCCCAGTTATGGATTCGCAAGCTGCTACCAAATATTTTATAAAGCCAAAACAACATGCTTTCAACCACTTTCCCATGTACGGGTTGCTACAGTATTGCAACATTGGTTTCATTGTCGACAACGCTAAAGCCGAATGAGTGCGACACTTGCTTAGCGCTCTCTATATACTGTAAGATTTGCTTGAATCGTAAATAAACACAAACCAAACGACCCTTTTCAGGGCCACATCATATTTCAAAAAGTGAACTACCCTTTCTGCTTTAATTTACGCTGGCTGTTATGTTTCTGATAAAAAAAATCTTGAAAAAATAAATGTAAACTGCGTAAACAGTGGTGAACACGCTGCTCTATTTATGTCACAGCTATTTCGCGTTCACTCCTCGTTTTATGCAAATGAAATTTAATTTCTAAATTTTTTTTATCAGAATCACAACAGACTGCAAAGAAGCCAACTGTTAATACAACGAACAAAAAAAAGGATTTTGTTGTTTAATTTTATTACAGGTGTAGAAAAAAAACTAGGGCGTATGCTAGGATATGACCTCAATTCTTTTATTTTATCAAAAGTGGGGTGGGGGGGGGGGTTTGTCTGGGAATGGGCTCTTAGCCGGTTCAATATTGTTTATATATATATACATGTACTTATCTTTTTCTTTTTTTTCTATCTCTATCAGTCTATTGGCCCAGATTTGCCACCAAGTGGTAGCAAGACAAAAGAAGGTAAAATCACTCCAGTTCTTTGTGTCATACCCTCACTTATTGACTGAACTTTCTGCTGTTAAACTAGTACTAAAACTCATTCCATGGTACTGAACTCTCTCTCTCTCTCTCTCTCTCTCTCTCTCTCTCTCTCTCTCTCTCTCTGTCCTTCTGTCTATCTACCAGACAATATGAGTACTTGATTTCACACTTCACGCTACGTCTATTAAATTGCGGAAATAATTGTTCTCTTCTTGCAATTTAGGACAAAAATTAATGACAGCTTCACATGTTTCATGTATTAACTATTTATTAGCTTTCCAGGCTTTGTATATTTCTATATTTGGGGAGACATATTAGAGAGAGTTCATTTACTTTGGTTTTGCTTATTGTCTATTGTTTGGTGTCTTCATTAATCTAAAAATATGCTTGATCTATTCTAAACCCTGTTTTAACTGATTTTCTGCTAGATCTATACATCTGTGGGTATATCAGGATTATGGTGTGTTATTTT